GCAGGGCGTGGAAATCCAGGACCCTCAGCCGGGCGCGGGTTAACAGACTGCGCCACCAGGGCCGCAATTATTTATTTGTGACCGGTTCGCAGACAGGAGTGATACTACGAAGAATTGCCCGCGCTGTTATACAGGGTGTCCAGAAAAAAGATACTACGGAAATTAAGTCGCATTCATTAACGCACGTGCCGATTTTTTTCCAACTTCATGTGCTTATAGTGCAAGATTTGGCAAAACTCATGAGCACTGTAATGCGTCGTTGGGAAGTTGTCTGTCTGCCCTCCGAGATGGTCAACATGACCATCAGTCACCTGCAGACCGTGCTAGTGCTGGAGCTGATCCGCCGGAAGGCCGCTCACATTGAGTATCTGCTTCGAGGAGCTGCCGCGACTGACCAGAGGGCTTACATGCCATGTGGCACCTGCTGTCTGTTTTGCCATATTTTTGCGAATACAAGCATGTGCCATTTTAACCCTCGCCCTGGCAGGGCATTTTTCATAACACGGCCTGGCAGGGGGGGGGGGGTCGATGCGACCCCCCCTCGCGATTGGCTCCTATGGCACCTAGAAACACCAAATTTGGTAGGTAGGTGGGCCCCCTGGAGTTCTCGCCACTGTGCAAATTTGGTTGCTCTAGGTCAATATTTAGGGGGGTTTTGGGGGGTACAAATGTAAAAATTTCGCTAAAAACATGTCAAAAGTTTTTCGCTTATAACTTTTGATCTAATTAAGATAGAGCAAAAAGAAAAGCACCAGTGAACTCAGCACGTCAAGGCGCATCGAATGATATACTTTTTAGCTTGCTTAAGTGTACTTAAAGTTTTTCTTAAATTTTAAGTAAACTTAAATTAATAAATTCAGTTCAAGTTAACCAAATTGCATCACATCGCATATCAATCGATTCGGCTGATCACCAGGAACACAATGATACCATTCTTTAAGCTCTAGCGTCATTATGTGCCAAGTTATTGGCAAAAACGTCATTTGACCTCAGTTGACCTCATTTGACCTGACCCATGGATAAGTACACCAAACAAAGAAGCACCAAGTGACCTGCTGTTAAGTACTGTGGTTTCAAAGCACAAAAGTGATAGAACGAAGCGGATATTTCCAGTATTTTCCGAATTTAGTATTTTCCCATAGGCTTAACATTACGACGTAATGACCTCTAACTGACCTCAGGTCAGTGACCTCAAAAAAGCCGGAGTATATGTTATACAACTCGGTGAACTTAGCACATCCTGAAAGTTTGAAGGAAATCAGTCGAAAACTGTGAGTTGGACAGGTGCAAGAAGAAAATTGAAATTTGACCATGACCTTGTACCGGTTTTTCTGACCTGATGACCTGACCCAAGGTCACTTGGACCTGAAATTTTCAGGTCATATGTAAAAAGGTTGCCCCATAGGCTGTGCCAAATTTGGCGGCGCTGCGCGCCGCCGTTTTTACGCTATCTTCGAAAAACCTTAGGGGGGGGGGGTCGCATCGACCCCCCCCCTGCCAGGGCGAGGGTTAAAGTGTGCGGTGTTTATTTTCGGAATTACAGCAAAAAAATAATAGTATCCGTTTTTTCTGGACACCCTGTACATCCCATGTTCTCGTAGATAAATGTCTGTCGTTTCATTACCCTTGAAAACGTTATGATAAACGAAACGTCGGGTATTTTTTGTAGTAATATCTTGCATATTTTATGAAGCCCGGTACCTATGTTAACCCGCGCCCCGTGGGGGGGGGGGCGAAGCGGCCAACCCCTATCATTTTCTGTCAATATCTCCCCAAGTATAACATATATCGCCACGAAACTTTTAAAATCCCTCCGGTCATCAATGTTATACCTTGTGACCAAAATTTTATCCAAAGCCAATGATAGGTTGGCCGCAAATGACGTCAGAGTGACGTAATGTTCTGCCATTTTCGACCCAAAAATAGTTTTGCGAGAAGAGCTGTCAAGTCCCTCCAGTTTTCAGGAAACATAAAGATGTTCAATGAAAAGGTGTAAGATTAGCCCGCGACCCGTTGGGGTCTGCCGAGCAGCGCGCCCTGCTGGGGGGGGGGGGCAATTCCCCCCCTAAGATCTCGAGAACCACGCGGCATAACGACAAGCAGCAAACGGTGTTGGATAGCCCTAACAGGGAACTAACTTGTGACCAAACTTCATTGACCTAGGTCAAACCGATGACGCCACAGGTCTGGTCAAATATCGAATTTTCACCGCTTACAGGCATTTCAAGTGAAGAAATGCGTTGTAAAATCGAGTAAAATGCATTTCATTGAAAATCATCGATGGAGAATTGCTCATCAAACACATATTCTGCTATTTGAGGTCACTGATACCAGGTCAGGTCACAGAGGTCAGGTCACTGAGTGCCACAATATAAAAAATATCATGCGATGCATGTTTTATGGTCTATTTTATGTGCTAAATACGATTATGTGGGCCAGGCAGCCTTTGGTGCCAATTTATATTATGTTCTGGTGAAGGTCAGGTCAAGGTCAGGTCAAGGTCAGGTCAAATTAGGTCAAATTTCAAAATTAATATTTTTGCATAAAATGGGTATTGATTCGATGCAGCTCGTCACGGGGAGTTCAATGGTGGTTTTTGTTTCGCGCTTCGTGGCCTAGAACGGCTAAAAATTGAGTTAAAAAATTGACGTCATTAATTTTGAACAGTTTTTACGAGCGAGCGAGCGCAGCGAGCGAAGCTAAGTCTTTTCAATATAAGTGGAAAATCTCAGTATGAGCGGCCCGGCCTCGTTCTGGTGGAGGTCAGGTAGTTGGAAGATCGCAGGGACTATTTGTTATTTCCTTTTTTTCTAAATAGGTACGAGACACTTTTTGGATTTTTTGCGTTTTTCTAAAAAAATCAATTTTCTCATTTTTGGGGTTAGAAACCCCCCAAAAAATGAAAATCCGCGATGGCAGTTTTGTAGCGCCGTCTGTTGTCTACATAACCGTATAAAGAAATTTGAAATTGCTTGAAATAACTCTAGCTGTTGTGAACGTTTCAAGATTTCATGTCTTTTGCTCATTTTTGTTCGAACATGACATCAATTTGACCTCTCTCCTGACCTAAGTTGACATAAGACTTGCAATTTTGTGCAAAGGTGTCAATTTGACGCCCGGGAAGGTACTGAAAACTTGGCGGCGCTGCGCGCCGCCGTTTTCTTTCTATTCAGGAAAAACCACAGGGGGGAATTGGCCCCCCAGCGGGGCGAGGGTTGACAAGGCTGCAAACCTGCTATCTCGGATTTTTGCACGTTTTGAATTTAAACCCCCAAGATGAAAAAGTGATTTTCTGGATATTATACCACCAAAATACCTTTGTTCAGAATATATGTTATCCCGCGCGGGGCTGGGGGGGTAAATTTTACCCCCCCTCGCGAATTTTTGCGATATCTCAAAAACGGCGGAGCGCAGCGCCGCCAAACTTTCAGTACCTTTTCTTACATCAATTTGACACGTTCCCTGAAAATTTGAGCGAAATCCGTCGGAAAATTTTTGAGGAATTGACGTTTTAGTGATGTCATGTTCGCCATTTTCGCCTCAAAAACGGCAAAAGTTCAAACGCCGCTAACATCTTCATTTTTAAGGGAATCAAGACGTAACAAAAAAGGTTATACGTAATTTTACTTTGTTTATCAAATGGCTATCTCGGTTTTTTGAAAATTTTGGATTTTGGCCTAAATTTTTTCAAAAAACTGACTTTTTTGGGAAAATCATTATAAAATCCAAAATTTTGAGTCTATCGAAAAAACCGGAATATATGTCAGAAAAGTGGTCTATGTGCACCTACATACCAAGTTTTAGAAGAATCGGTTCAAAAATGTGGGAGTTATTCAACATTTTATGACGTCACGACACACAAATTTTTTTGAAAAATGACTTTTTTGGAAGTTCTAGACCTCGTACGGAAACAAAAATAGCACCATTCGCTTCGCCGTGAAAAACTGCATCAGATAGACACCATTTTAGGCCTTAACAACCAACTTCAAAATTTGACCTCACTTGACCTGACCTTGACCTGACCTCGACCTGAAATTCATCCAGAGGTGGTCCATATCACTTATTGAGTGTGCCCATTGAATTCTATGAGTAAAATGACCCATAAAACATGTGTCGCACATGCCCTTTTCTATATTTTGTTTTTTGGTGACCTGACCTGACCTGACCTGACCTTGAACTTGACCTCTGAATGATATTGTATGCAACGAATATTGTCTTGGTAGCCTAAGAACACGTTTTGGGCGATCAGTCTCAGTCCATGACTCCATTCTTCGGCAACTACGGTGCAAGGCCGATACTGTAGAAACTTGCAATTTGTACCCTTGACCTGACCTTGACCTTGACCTCAAACTTTAAATTAAGTACATGTTTTTAGTAGTTCGTGATGAGAGCTTTCGATTGGCGTTTGAATTTTCCAAATCGGACCATTAGTTTGGGAGATAACAGGGGGGGGGGGGGTAAAATTTACCCCCCCCCCCAGCCCCGCGTGTTCGGCTGGAGACCCCAGCCCCGCGCGGGTTAAAGAACTATTGGTCTGCCATTGATATGCCAACTTTGAGCTCGACAGCTCCATTTTCTCAAAGTTATGGCGATAACACTGCTAAACATTTATGACTTAAACTTACGAGCTCAATCAAACTCATCAATCAAGCTCAATCAAGCTCGTATCAAGCTCAATTTTTAGCCTTTAGGCTAAAATGTATAGACTATAGACCACGCAGAGCCAAAACGAAGACCACTATTGGATTCCACGTGATGATGAGCGGCATCGAATAGACACCCTTTTTATGCAAAAATAGCAACTTTGAAAGTTGACATTTTTTACCTGACCTCCACCAGAACGGAACCTAAGCCGGTCCAAATGGTCGTGTAACCCACATCATTGAATTTGAAATGCAGCACGGCGCATCTGCGACTGAAAGCGACTAATGGAGGCTCGCAGCGTTTGTGGACATTCTCCCTTCTGCGGATGTTCGCCATTGTCTTCCCAAACGCTGGGCTGTCGGATGACATTTATTTGGCGACTGCTCTCAGGGGCAAACACCGTGGGCTGCCGCGATGAGGCTGTCTCTATACCAGTATTTATACCTCTATACTAGTATTTGTGGACCCTGTTCACAGTGAGTTAACATGGCGTGTGTTACACCGCTGTTATCCCGTACCAGACGCGTGTTACCGCCGGCCTAACGCGGCCTAACGCGTCGGCCTGACGTCTTAGCGCCGGCCTAACGCGCTCTGTTCACCGATTGGTGGTCGAGCCGCCCGGCGGCGTCAATGGCCGGCGTCCGAATACGACCGGCCGCACCGTGAGCCGGTGTGACGTCACCGGGCGACCCGCAGCCACCGGTGTGACGTCACCGGGCGACCCGCAGCCACCGGTGTGACGTCACTGGGCGACCCGCAGCCACCGGTGTGACGTCACCGGGCGGCCAGCAGCCACCGGTTCCGGGCCCGGACACACGCTCATACGGTGGCAGGCAACGAGCGACGCAGAGTTTGATTATTGCTGCACTTTAGCCCATTTGCTATACCTAATATACCAATCACACCGCGATTCTATCTACCTTCAGCCCCAAACGGTATCACCGAGCATATATTGACGTAAAAATGGCGCTGATAGATATACACTGTTAGAGGTTTTTCCTATCTGAGTCATAAAACTTACTACACACTACACAGGCATTTCTACATATAAGTGATGGTGGAAGACGGTTTGTCGCCGGCGCTGCATTTGATGTGTGTGTAGGCGGGTGGGGCCCGAGAGGCATGGTGAGGTCGAAAACAGCACGGCTCTGTGGCTGCTCTGCCACGATCTGCCACATGCGGCAGACTGTCCCACAGACAGACTCTTCAGACAGACTGTCCAGAAAGAGAGCTCCGGACAGTGTCCTCCGGACAGCGAGCTCCGGACATAGAGAGTTGTCCGGGCTGCGTCTCCAGTGAGGTGCACGGAAGGAGTCTCCGGACGGAGTCGTACGGGATAAATCTCCGGACAGAGAGTTGCCGTCCGGCTGTGCTGCACACTGAGAGAGCTGCCAGACGAGTGATGCCAGGTGAGGGCTTCCAGACAGGTGATGCCAGACGGGCAGGCCGGCTGTGTTGCCAGGTGTGAACTTCATGTTCCATGTTCTGTCCTAGGCTGCAACACACCAAAAGGAGCGTGTCAAGATGGAGCACATTCCATAAAGCGCATACCTACTGAGAATGGCAGCTGTGCTGCGGGAAGGAAAAAAAATAGTGCAGTGTCTTATCTTCTGTCTTTCTACTGCAGATATAAGAAAGCCATGTCATATTTGGACCTGATAGATATTACGTGAAACAGTAGGCATAGAGAACAGTCTTATTAGTTAACATTTGTTTAGCTGAAACAAACCCTATGAACAAACCAACCTACACACCTTTGAAATTGTGTCAACGCAAGCAAATGACCAGAAGTGCCTAACAAGGAGGTCGTAATCAAGCATCTCGTAAGACAGGGGAATAGCTGAAAGGCTCACCCCTTCCCACGTAGGGATGCAGATATGACTGAAAACATTTCTTTGCGATTATTTTGATCGCTGTGTAAGATGGGAACTATACCACTTACATACCCGACGTTTCATTCAAACCCTCGCAACATGCAGTCAAATACCATACCACGACCGCCCATCATTCAGTCAAAATAACCATTCACCCTTTTCCAGTAGCTGTCAGTCATTCCAAGTCCAGGCGCGACACAGTCAGTCAGTAGACAGTCACAAGTCACAAAGTTCCCGCAGAAAGTCCCCAGTCTGTACGACCCGTCTGAACCAACGGTGACCGTCCAGTGTGCCATTTCTGATGCATGTTGGTCTGTTGTAACGTTCTTGTATAGTGTATATTATATGCAGTTGCAGATGTAAAATACGCCGCGAAGTTCATTGTGCTGCTTCACGAGTTACCAGTGTGCTGTGAAAAGTGTATTTGAAATAGCTGAGCCGCGCAGCCTGGTGAGAGCAGCCTGCTGCACATGCGTCGTTACCTTCTACGCCGCTGGCCGAAAGGCGCGCCTCCGCACGAGTGGTTTTCCGCTACCCACAGATGGCAGGGTCGTCGCTGTCGGCTGCCATTGGCCACTGATCTGTGACGTCTCGCCGACGCGCTGCTCTGCGCTCTCTGATTGGCTGCCACCCTCGGCGGCCACGCCCACTCGGCTGACCTCCGGGCTGAAGGACACCTGTGACCGCTCCGGGCGCCCGACAGCGTCGCTTGGCGGCGGTACCAGCAGCTCCAGAGTCAGCAGCCCGTCCGGCCTCACCACCACGCCGTCCACGAGGAAGGCGCCGGCGCGATGGGCGTCCCGCCGCCGCCGGAAGTCGGCCAGTTCCGGCGGCGGCCGCAGCGCCGCCCCCGCACCTGTCACACGCGCGATACTGGTCTCGATGGAAGAGCGGATGGAGTCGACGTCGAAGCCGGATCCCAGCTGCCGCGCTAGCGACGGCCCTGTGCCAGAGTCGGCGGAGTCGGGGTCGGAGTCACCGGATCCCAGCTGCTGCGCTAGCGACGGCCCTGTGCCAGAGTCCGCGGAGTCGGGGTCGGAGGTACCGGATGGGTAGAGGCCAGGCGAGAGCAGCTGGATGGAGGGACCGCGGGGACGGCCCGGCTGGGCGGACTGGGGGCTAGAGGTCTGCACCGGCCGGCTGCAGCCGCGGCTGGCTGCAGCCCCACGGCTGTGGGCCGGGGCGGCTGCAAATATCTCCAAGAACACGGCTACGGCTGTGGCCACGGCTGTGAGATTTGAAGCTCAATCTCAAGTACTCAAAAATAAAATTTTAAATCCTTAATCTTACATTCTGATAAGCAGTCTAGCCTGTAAAAATCATGCAAAGGATGCCCACCAACATTGAAAGTGGTGAAGCCTTTGAAAACCTGTAATGGTTTTACCATTTGCTGTAGGGGAGCTTGCACTCTGGTACAGAATACTAATTATAGATACCAATTGTTCCTTCATCATCAAGAGCTTGACAGTTTCAGAAAATGCAACATGTTGCATTGTCACATTCCTCTCAAATCAATCTCACCTGGTCATTAGGAGAGCACCTTACAGCTATTGAAGACGAGCATTCAATAATTATTTCAGGTAATCTAAAAAGAAATCACGGCTAGGTAAAGGCCGGTAACGGCTTCATAAAATATTATCTAAAATAACTCTTAGATGTATTTCTGGATTTTCGGCAAGTCCAATTACATAATATAAAACTGGCGCTTTATGTTCTAACTGGTGTGTGAGTGACCGCTAACAGAAAATGCTGATCAACGAAGCCAATGGAATTAGATTATAAGTGAGCATGAACCTTACTTACGGTTAATTCACATGATGGAGAATACCCTGAACACGTAATTCACATGACGGTGGAAACCCTGAACACAATATTTCTTACGCGAGCTGTTGACTTTACTAACAAAATGACGTCTTTTTCTGAAAATGTAAAAATTTGATACGTAATCTTTGTTTAAGAGCAAGTTTTTAACTATATAGAATTAAAATTTATTAGTTATTATTTTTATGGCTGTTTATAGTGACACAAAACAATTTTTTGCCACTTCTTTGCTATTGACGTCATTAAAACTCAAGTAAAAGTTTTGATTGATAGAGGCAATTGTGGCTCGCACGTCCTTGTGGATTTGAGCGAAGATCATTATTTGGAAAAATCAAAATAGATGAATGCTTTTCTTTCTTGGATGCTGACTAGTGTTTTGATGCCTTGCATATCAAATTAGTTTTAGACTTGCTCAGAAGGCTGCTTCAAGCCTGGCATATCACACCCCAGAAAATATGCAAGGTAAGAAAGAAGCAAGTGTTTTGACTAGACAATCACTGTTTGACTGTCTATCAACTTCAGTTTCATTTTCCATGCCTAACATTGATAATGAAAAGCATCAGGGTCTGTTGTTCTGTCCCACAACCATACTTCAGGATTTGGCATTAGATGTCTACACTGCTAGTGCTTCTATTCTGGTTCGTTGTTTATGTTTTCTGTTGATGTAGGTACCTACCTACCCATCTTTCTTAACCCCTTGCAAGGGCTTGTGTAGGCATGCGTTGCGCATCAGGCTTCAGGCCTTTGGCCTAAAGCCAGATACACAACCACTTAACCTATGATGCTTTATGAGCTTGAGAATCTATAGCCCATTGCAATGTGGTTTTGGCTATATGTTTCAACTAAAAGCAACTTATTATATACTATTTGGTTGCATTTCATTGAAAGTATCCACGGCCGGCTGACGGCTGGCTGCCCACAGTTTGCCACGGCTGTGGGCGGCTGTGGCTGTGGAGCCACGGCTGCGGGGTGGCTAGGCTGTGGATAATTGCAGCCGTGCAGAACTCTACTGGGGGCCCGTCCCTGCTGCGGAATAGGGGCCGCTCCCCGTCGCTGTGCTGCTGCCATCCGGGCCAACTATAACGGAAGGGAGCCCAGCGGCCCCGCTAAGGCCAGTGCCGTAGTGTGTGTGACGCTGACGCTGAGGCCCGGAGCCACTGTAGGAGACTGTGGTTCGCAGTTCTGGCGGTTGCGTCTGTGGCGCACCGCCGGCAGTCTCCACTGTTGAGTCTGCGTATCCAGAGGCCGAGATCTTGTCCGCGGTAGCACTGTCCCCTGCTGAATAGACCCTGGACCCGCCCCCGACTTCCGGTCCTTGGAGAGAGACGTACGCGCCGCCGGTCAGCGCTCCCACCGCGCCGCCAGCCTGTCCACCTTGGTGCCGAGACCCGGATGTTTGCGTGAAGCTGGAGGTGGATGCGGGGTAAGTGACATATGTTTGCGCCTGCGGTTTTGCTGTGTCATCACCGGAGTCGCTACTGATTGGCCCAGTGCCGGTGCGAACTGATGACGTAACACTGTACCTGTGGGGAGGTTCCGGAGAGGTTTGTCTCTGGGAGTTAGTGCCGGGGGTCAAGTGCGAAAAGCTGGGGGATGCGTGAGTGTTTCCCTGCAGCTTGTGAAGCTGTCCGCCGATTTTTGGAGTCCAGTAGGTCTGGGTGCTGGTGTGTGGAGCTGGAAAGGTCTGGCTGCTGGTATGTGAAGTAGGGTAAGTCTGGCTGCTGGTATGCGGAGCTGGGAAGGCCTGGGGCTGTACTTGGCTGATCCCACTGGGACCTAAGTTAGTACTGCCGCCACTGTGTGATGTTGCGGAGCTCTGATTGTGGCCCTGCGGCGGGGGGTGTTTCTGACTGTCGGGTTGCGATTCCGTGTGGGTGCGAAGGTTTGTGCGTTTTCCTGAGTAGTTGTTGGTGTCGGTGAGGCCCCGGAGGGCAGTCCGCTGTGCTGAGTAGTTGTTGCTGTCGGTGAGGCCCCGGAGGGCAGTCCGCTGTGCTGAGTAGTTGTTGGTGTCGGTGGGGCCCCGGAGGGCAGTCCGCTGTGCTGAGTAGTTGTTGCTGTCGGTGGGGCCCCGGAGGGCAGTCCGTTGTGCTGAGTAGTTGTTGGTGTCGGTGAGGCCCCGGAGGGCAGTCCGCTGTGCTGAGTAGTTGTTGGTGTCGGTGGGGCCCCGGAGGGCGGTCCGCTGTGCTGAGTAGTTGTTGGTGTCGGTGAGGCCCCGGAGGGCGGTCCGCTGTGCTGAGTAGTTGTTGGTGTCGGTGAGGCCCCGGAGGGCGGTCCGCTGTGCTGAGTAGTTGTTGGTGTCGGTGAGGCCCGGGAGGGCGGTCCGCTGTGCTGAGTAGTTGTTGGTGTCGGTGAGGCCCCGGAGGGCGGTCCGCTGTGCTGAGTAGTTGTTGGTGTCGGTGAGGCCCCGGAGGGCGGTCCGCTGTGCTGAGTAGTTGTTGGTGTCGGTGAGGCCCCGGAGGGCGGTCCGCTGTGCTGAGTGTGTCTCCCCGTCCGTCTGTCGGAGCCGGTCCCCGCCCGCCGACTGGCTCTGGGCCGGGCCGGCGCGGAGCGCGTGGCGCGGTCCGCTGGAGGTCGAGGTCGAGGTCAGTGGGTGGCGGTGACGTCCGAACTGTCCACTCTGCTCCGTACCGTACGACGAGTAGCTGGAGACCGAGCCGCCCGAGAGCGAGCGGCCGTCGTGACCGGACGACCCGCCGCCGTGACCTCCAGACGAGTGTCCGGACCCGCCGCCGTGACCTCCAGACGAGTGTCCGGACCCGCCGCCGTGACCTCCGGAGGAGTGTCCGGACCCGCCGCCGTGACCTCCGGACGAGTGTCCGGATCCGCCGCCGTGACCTCCGGACGAGTGTCCGGATCCGCCGCCGTGACCTGAAACAGAGGTCAAGAGCACAGCTGATGATGTCCAAGATGTGCCTTTTATGTCCGCGAGTCATTTCATTTTAGCTGTCAGCTTTTACAGGGTGCTGCTTACCCAACACCAAGGTAAATGGCGAGAATGTACAACGCAAGCCTTACATTTTACGATACCTTGCCAAATATTTCCCAAATCACCGCTAGCCCGCCTGACTAGCCCCGGTATTCGTCAATTTGAAGCCGATAAGGCATATTGGAGTTGGCACTAAGTTTGGTTGAACTGGTTACACTGGTTTTAAGCTTTCTCACTACCGTACCCACTGTTTGCGCGTTCACCGTCGCCACTGAAAAAGAAATCTCACCTCCACTAGAGGGCGCCCCGTAGTCGTTGCTGGGCTTAGAGGGCGCCCCGTACCCGCTGCTAGGCCTAGAGGGCGCCCCGTACCCGCTGCTGGGCCTAGAGGGCGCCCCGTAGGTGGTCGAAGGCTGGACGGAGATGTGCCCGCCACCTGTGGAGAGCGGCGGTAACCCTGGTTTCAGTGTTTGCCGATAGATGGCGGACCAGGCGCGGACCAAGTCACCGAGGGTAAACGGCATGGAGCAGGTGAACACTCGTCACACAAGGAATAGCAGACGAGGCAGCGTCTCATATGGTTTCGATTAATCGATCGATACCATATGTAATGACGGCATAGTGTACATTACAACCAGAGATGAGGCTTACCCGCGCCCTGATGGGGTCTGCCTACCAACGCGGTCTGATGGGGGGGGGGGGCATTTTGGTCCCCCCTAAGATATCGAGAAGCACACAACATAGCGACAAGCGGCAAATGGCGTTGGATGGCCCCAACGGGGAACTACCTTGTGACCAAATTTCATTGAGCTCGGTCTAACCGATGACGTCACAGGTCAGGGCAAAGGTCGAATTTCCACCGTTTACAGGCATTTCAAGAAATGCGTTGTAAAATCGAGTAAAATGCATTTCATTGAAAATCATCGATGGGGAAATGTTCGTCAAACACATATTTTGCTATTTGAGGTCACTGATACCAGGTCAGGTCACTGAGGGTCACAAATTAAAAATATCATGTGATCATGATGCATGTTTTATGGTCCATTTTATATGCCAAATGCGATTATGTGGGACATGCAGCCCTTGGGGTCAGTTGAGATTATGTTTTGGTGAAGGTCGGGTCAAGGTCAGGTCAAGGTCAGGTCAAATTAGGTCAAATTTCAAAGCTGATATTTTTGCATTAAATGGGTATTGATTCGATGCAGCTTGTCACGGGAAGTTAAATGGTGGTCCTTGTTTTGCGCTACGTGGTCTAGAATTGCTAAAAATTGAGTTAAAAAATTTGACGTCATCAATTTGAAACCGTTTTTTTCGCTATAGCTTGGCCAAAAAAGAAGTTATCGATCTAAAATTTCGTATATATATATCGAGGAGCGCAGGGACTATTATATATATTCTGGTTTTTTTTTCGAAATTCGGATTTTTTTGGAATGTTCCGCGTTTTTCTAAACAAAGTCAATTTTCTATTTTTGGGGGTAAAAATCCCAACATTTTTGAAAATCCGAGATAGTAGTGTTGTAGCGCCGTCTTTTCTCTACACAACCACATTAATGACTTTAAAATTGCTTGTTAACTGTAGATTTGGTGAGCGCTTCAAGATGTCATGTTTTTTGCCCATTTTTACTCGAACGTTACCTCAGTTTGACCTCAATAACTCCTGACCGTAGGTGACCTGTTATTTGAAATTGTGTGTGAAGGTGTCAAATTGATGCCCGGGAAGGCACCCAAAATTTGGCGGCGCTGTGCGCCGCCGTTTTTTCGCTATATAAGAAAAACCACAGGGGGGGGGGCAAAATGCCACCCCCCCCCCATCAGGGCCCGATTTCACCAAGTGAATATATTCTTATTTCTTGGTGTACTTTGGAAAAGTACACCGACAAAGTACGACGATAATACTATTCGGTTTCGCCACAGGAATATATTCAATACGCCCGGCTTTACGTACTTTGAGAGCCACCGGCGCGCATGCATATATCTTTTTTTGTCGGGGACATGCAGTCACTATATTTTTCCGTATTTAAAGTCGACGAGCTTAAATGCTCAGATATACAATATTATGGAAAAAAATTCTAGCTACGCTAATAAGAATTAAATTTGCTGATCATACAAGAGGAAGTACCTAAACAAATATTGCTAATAATGCTCTTGTTTTTTGCTGGGAGCATGACATTCCAAAGCCAAAAATGTAAACAATCGGCAGCAAGCCGCGCAGCACAGTTGACGTTACTGGCGTGTGTGGGTTTTATTGGATTTTGAATTGATATTAATTTTTCTTCCAAGTTACTTCTCATTAGATATTGCTTCAATATTTGTTCACATCTTCTACGCAATTCTGGAGTGGTTCAAAGCAAATATAAATAAAGTCGAACAAGAAATGGCATTACTTGAGGCACCTATCTTATACGTCCTATCTAACTACCGATCACTGACGATAGCAAGAAGCACGGCCGACTAGCCGACAAGTTATCTGAAATATTACTTGAATCAAGTTTTTAAATAATCGAAGGGTCTACCGACGACTTCAAATATGGAGAATATTTCGGAATCATTCGGCAGACTGAACCTGAACGGAAGCGGAAAGCCGGTGATAAATTAAGGTTAAGGTTAAGGTTAACCCATTTATGCCCAGGAATATTGACCATCATGAAAATCGACGAAATCAAAATATGTTATGCTCCTACCAGGGCCTTGTATGGAATCGAAAATAATTTTTGCCTGCAGCAAAAGTTTCTCGAGAAAAACGTAAAAAACATGCGTTGCGAAATCGCAACGAAGGGCACACCGGGCGCCATCAGCGTTGCGAAAACGCAACGACGGGCACATCAGACGGACATAAAGTACACTGAACTGCCGTATATGCTAATATATTTTGACAAAACATCAATCAACTGTTGACAACTATTGCTTGAAAATGCGGAACCCACATCCGTCATGCTCTATAACCCGCCTAAGAGCCTCAGTGAGGAAGCATAACTTCATGATTCGCGAACGGGGAGATGGCAACACGGTCATTATCAACCATTTACGTTGTCCATTGCTGTTCATTTAAAGTTGTGGTCGACACGTATCCAGGGTGATGCTTTCTTTTTGGAAGCTAGACAGATCCATTACCTCCACTTATCAGACCCTGCACAGTGCACAGTGCACACTGAATACAATTAAACGGAGGATTGGGAGTAAACCAGTGCCTCTCGTATGCGCGTATATCCGCAATCATTTTTAACCACCCTCCTAGGAGTAAAGTTAAATTCCATTGCAAGTTAGTCGTACCCACTCTCAGCAAAAAGAAAAAGGACCGATCCGGCTCTGACAAATTACCCGCGTAAGGCGTAGCGCATCACAACAAATCGACTCCCAGTTTATCATGTTTACACCTAATCCAAAATTTTCATGGCCCCACTCTCAGCGACCTTCACGTGTAACCTCTTTCTCGAGACAATGCCAGGACAGAATGGTGATTCGACGTCAATCCGTCCTTTCCATCTTCAGGATAGTTGAATCCTCCTCCACGCCTCATCCCCCTGTTCCGGGCTGGACCGGCAACGTATATCGCAATCGGGCAGCTCACATAGGAGCGCGCCTGCAGCCGGGTGCAGTGAGTGCTTGGGAGGGGGGAAGGGGGTGGGTCATGGGTGGCGGCTGCCCACTGGCTGGGCTCAGTCTCCAGTCTACGATTGACCGTGTCCGGTCAGACAAATGTCTCCCCTAATTCCAATAATCCTGCTAGCTCTAAAA